GGTCTGCGTACACACACCTCCCCATACCATACTCTTGTGGGATTTAACTAGGTTGTTGTTGTTGTTATTTCTTTGTTTGATTGTGTTTACTGCATGCTCATTAGGTGTTTCTTTCTAATTTGACCATTTTTCGTGTTGTTTCTTTGTTCCATTGTGTTTTATTGCTTATTATGCAGGTGTTTCTTTGTGTTAATGCTTATAAGTAGTTTTTAACTTATAAGCTATTTATAAGTTAAAAACTTGTTCATTTAAATAAAATGACTAAAATGATATATAAGTCATTTGGGAATATTTATATGGGTGAGTGAAAAGTTTTGTGAGTTATTTGATGAAAATGGAGAAACAAAAAAATTGGCTTAAAAATATGTTTGTAAGACTTGTTTATTTTTCATGATTTATAAGTCAGGTTATAAGTACACAAAAATATATTAGCTACTGATTTATAAGTTAAAAATTATTTATAAACACTTTTGACTAATGTAGAAGTACAAATAAATGCCACTAAATTTTTAAATATAATATATATTTTTCATACTGTTCATTTAGAAGAAGGGAGGGAATGTAAGCTTCCTCTTTTAACTTCTTATACTCAAACACAAAGATAGTTGTTGGTGGAGGGAGAGATTCCTTAAGCATTACATAGGATGTATTTGTGTAGTTTGATTGTATGTATTTGTGTAGTTTGATTGTATTCTTGAGGTCATAATTTTTCTTGATTGTGTAATTTGTGTAGTTGGTCTCCAAAAAATTGTATTCTTGAGGTCATAATTTTTCTACTCCCATTATATGATTCCATATTCTCCCTCCTCCATTAGGTTGTACTCTGTATTTGTGTAATTTGATTTTTTTTGAGTTACATTAAACAAGCTTTGATAATCAATTCCTATCATTTGGTATTAACTATTAATTCAGTGAAATAAAATTTTTTGAACTAATAGTATTAAAAAAAGATACATTCAATTATATTAAATCATTTTAATTTTAAAATACAATTAGTCTTTATTTAATCGATGTCTAAATTTCGTCTAGTTTGACTCAGATTTCAAACTATGGTTGTACACTTGAAAAGAAATTCAAAGCAGCATTTTTTATTTAAATTTACTTTAAAAAATTAAAATCAAAATCATCTGAACACTTCAAAAGGAGGAGAGGAGTTTGGTGTGTAGAGTGAGGCATTGTTTAGTAATGAAGTTTTCATTTAGGATTTGAAATTATTCATTAATGGTATACATTATTTTTAAAATGTTAATACTAAATACTGTCATTATAAGAAGATCTTTGTGCATTTTTAGTGGGGGTTGCTGAAGAATGAATATTTTCTATTGAATTATTATGAGAGATTACATGTGTATATATACAAGGGTTTCCTAATGACAATAGGAAACAATAATTAATACACCCTATACAAATATGGTAGCTACAATATACATTAATATTAAATATAGTAAGAATATATTTAACATGCTTCCAACGGCGCCAACGAAGAATGCCACACACCTACACAGTCTCGAAACTCGGAGAAGACCATGGAGGGTAGGCCCTTGGTGAAGATGTCTACATACTGTAGGGAAGACGGCACATGAAGAACTCGTATCTGACCAAGGGCTACTCTGTCACGCACAAAGTGAATGTCAACCTCGATATGCTTCGTGCGCTGATACTTGACTGGATTGGCAAAAAGGTAGACGGCACTGATATTGTTGCAGAAGACTAGTGTAGAGCGTGTCAGAGGTTGTCGGAGTTCGAGAAGAAGATTGTGTATCCAACTAACTTCAGCGACGGCATTAGCAACATCTCGATATTCAGTCTCAGCACTAGATCGAGAGGTGGTGAGTTGTCGCTTAGAGGACCAAGAGATAAGGTTGTCGCCTAATAAAATGCAGTAACCGGATGTTGAACGACGAGTGTCTGGGCAGCCTGCCCAATCAGCATCAGAATATGCCCGCATATGATCCGTCTGAGAGGGTGATATAGTGATGCCATGGGTAGGTGTACCATGTAGATAGCGCAGAACACGCTTCATAGCTGTAACATGTGGCACACGAGGATCATGAAGAAATAGGCATAGCTGCTGCACGGCATAGGTAATATCTGGGCGGGTGAAGGTGAGATACTGCAGTGCTCCCACAATGGAGCGATATAGAGAGGGATCTGGCGCTGGAGGACCGACCGTGGCCGAAAGCTTCCCTCGGGTGTCCACGGGTGTAGAGACCGGTTTGCAGGAGGTCATGCCGGCCCGTTCAAGTATATCATAGATGAACTGAGTCTGAGTGAGGAATAGACCATGAGAGGTCCGCTGGACATTGATCCCGAGAAAAAAGTGAAGGTCGCCCATATTTGTCATAGCAAACTCCCCTTTTAGCCGTGCTGTGATCCGGTGAAGGAGGGCAGTAGATGATGCTGTGAGGACAATGTCATCAACATAAAGCAGGAGAAGTGCCATGTCCTGGCTGCGACTGTAGACAAACAAAGAGGTGTCGCTCTTACATCCACTAAAGCCAAGAGAGAGAACAAATCCCGTGAAGCGCTGGTACCAGGATCGGGGTGCTTGTTTGAGTCCATAAAACGCCTTATTTAATCTGCAAACATAATGTGGGCGAGCAGGGTCCTGGAATCCCGAAGGCTGAGCGGTGTAAACAGTGTCTGAGAGGTAGCCCTGCAAGAAAGCATTTTTGACGTCAAACTGGTGGATCGGCCAACCTCTGGACACGGCAAGGCTCAGGACAATGCGTATAGTGGCCGGTTTGACAACCGGGCTGAAGGTCTCGTCGTAGTCGATGCCATGGCGTTGATTGAACCCACGAACAACCCATCGAGCTTTGTACCTGGACAGTTCACCTGTTGGGCCAAGTTTGTGGCGGAAAAGCCATTTACTGGAGATGACATTTTGGTCGGGGGAGGGGGGGTACTAGATCCCATGTATGATTAGCAATCAAAGCATTATATTCATCTAGCATAGCATTGTACCAGTTAGGATCTTTGAGAGCACTACAGTAGGTGGGTGGTATGGGGGAGATGGAAGCAACAGTGTTTAGGTTTAGGATT